GTCTACATAGACATCCGCTCAGTTGTATGACAATGTATATGCTGCGCGGTTACTTTACAAAAGCAACAGATTCCGAGTCTAAGTTTCAATCGGCTCATGTACATTTACAAGTTGCGAGCGAAGTCATTCTGCGAGGGGCCATCTGCGGCCCATTCCACTTCACTGAAGCTCTCAGAGAAGCGCAAGAACCAGTCATGACAACTCAGCTTTCCATCCCACACGACAATTAAATAATGACGCAGGAGAACCGTCATGGGGCAATGATCACATCAGTTCGCGTCCCATGCGTCCCTCTTCATTAGCGTTAACTCGTATGTAACGCACTCATCAGGGTAGAAAACGTCTAGCTTCTATCTAAACTTGTTTCTGAAAGAAACAGTCGCAGATGAGGGTTTTGGCACCTGCCCGGCACACAAACTGCTGCTGTCTACCTTTGCGGAAAGCACTGTCTTTGGACGAGTTCTTAGACTTGATGAAGTCTTTATGCCTCGCGCACAAGGATGAGGATTGCAAATCACATGTTCGATTCTCGTGAGAGGTGTGTGGTATATTGGCCACTGTGTTGCTCTGAATTCTCCCCGTTTGAGCGTCTGCGATGCCAAGGATGCCGATGCCTACGCAAAGGCTGCCAGCATGGTGGAAGATCTCCTAACCAGTCTGTTGCTTGGTCGCAGTCACTCTAGCAGCGCGCTACGCGATAATTAGTTGCAGTAGGTCGCTGGCGATAAGATGCGAAGCGCGTTTCGGTGTTCTATCAGTTATAGGCAAGGTACAGGGTTGCAGACTATGAATATAAAGTGCTGCCGTTGACGTGAATTGGAGTTCTGAGTTGATCCCGGAGGCCCTATGCAACAGCGGCGCCCAGGAAGAAGCGCGCCTTCCGAGGGTTCGCCAACGTCTGACCCTTGTGCGCAAGAATAAAAAGAGCAGCACCTTGCACACTTGCGGCGCGCAAAGCTTGGCACTCTGTTAACGCAGCACACAGATGTCGTTGTTACCCTCAAGTTAAGAGTTAATTTTGTGTTGAGGCTCGCAAAGAACTTCTTTCCATGACTCATGTTGACAGGTAGTGTGCTGAAAGCATGGTCTCTGTTCTTGACAGGCACATGCCGAGATCTGACAGGCGTGACGCCGCGGCCTCATCGGCAGCTTCTTCCTTTTGCAATGCGCAAGTTTCGAGGTTTAGGTTCTTTGACGACTTTCGGCATTTCCAGCGAAGACATCGTGAGCGTTGTCTAGATAGACACCAGGAGTGAGTAGAGAAGCTGATTAGCTGGTAAAGCACAGGATTGTCTCACAGCAGACTTCCCGACCTCCGAGGTACGTGCTCACAACCAGTGAGCCTGGCGTGTTGTATGACATGATGGACAATCCGCTGCCAGAGCCCTACTGAAAAGTTCTTGGTTCGAGGTGCCGCTGACGGCCACTGGTGTAAAAATGTCCAGGCCCATGCTGGATTCCAACACGACTGGGCCAGGCGGCTGGAGGCAAGTGGGTCATCATTGCACACCATCAAACATGTGCTAGTGCGTCCCCAGCGCGGCGCCAGCTGATTTAATCTCCTGCTCGCGGCATTGCAGGTTCGAAGTCAACGAGAACGTTACGCGGCCTCCAGAGGCACCGTAGCGAAGCTTGATTTGCGCTGACCGCAAACAGAAGTGGCAAGAATAGGACATGTTCAAATGGAAATCGTCTCGCAACGCGTAATGTTTTGGCCGGTCCCTGAAGATCTTGCGAGCAAGCCATACCGTTTTGGTCAATGCCAGCGCTCCAGTCACGGACTTGGATGTTGAACGGGGAAACTGCAAGCACATAGACACATTTTATTGGTAGTTCGCGCAGAATGAATGAAACTACTGCACCACAGCCAGAATGCTAGCCATTAGGGAAGTTCGGACGTTCTCAGTGTGCTGGTAGAGCGCCTTTCCGGGTTAACGGGGTCGCTCCAAATTTACAAGGGTGTTGCACTTTGCCAGGGCTTAGAGTAGAAACACTCTCCAAGACATTTGAATTGCTTCATTCTGAAATTTTCTGAGAGGATTCGACTGAAGGGCTTCTAACTTTGAGCCCCCTTGACTTCAGAGTTTCTAAGGAGACGTTGGTCATTGGCTACCTCTACTTCACACAGCGGGTGTATCAAAATGGCTCTGCTGCGGCCTCGGGACCTAGCAGCATGCCAGCTCGGTGAATCCTCGTTGATATGGTGAACTCTTGGAATTGCTGCCGTTGCCGGTGCCGCCTTCACCCCTTCCTGAGCTGCCAATCGCTTTACTAGCAACAGCAGTGCCCTACAACCTTTGCTATCCCTGCCACTCCCAGGGACTGACAGACAAGGCTTACTGAAGGCTTACTGCGTTTGTAAGATCACAGAGGTGAAGCATGGGCGCTTTTGTCTAGTTGCCGCCTGCTTCTCTCGCCAAGTTTCCGGGCACCATTCTATCCCGAGAAGAGCTACAAGTCTGGGCGCCTCAGCTGAGAAATTGGCCGACTCCTGCAATGGTGACTTTTTAGGGCCTTGCCACCTCTGAACCCACACTTCAGAAGCCCACGTCTTCAGGACTGCGGTACAAATTTCGACTGCTCGCGCATGCAGGCAGTGCCTGCGTGAGTGCATGGGGATCGCCAGTTATTGAAAGGGGATGTGATCATTGCAATCCAGTGGTTCAACACCTCATTTCTTTGGTGAACTTCAAATCCCGTCAGCGGAAAATGAGCACTTTGAAGCTGAAGGGCGTTGCAAGACTTCATGTCCTTTGTTAGCTGGCTTGTGACCGAGAGTCTCTTGAGAAAAGAAGCGCAGCCCAGCTTGCATGTGCAGCTTCTGAATGGCACCGACACGCCCGTGACTGTCTCTGTCGAGCCGTGGCTTTGGCCTTACTTTCAGAGCTGTTTGGCGCTGTGCGCAAGCCTGCCGAACTTCAACTGGCAAAAGAGTCGCATGTGCGTTGCAGATGTATGATGTATGTGCCAAGCCAGGGTCTCGCTGTACCAAAGCAAGATTTCTGAGGACTCCCGGTAATTGCTCACATTGGCTGAAGGAATAGAGACCATTGCAAACACAGCTGCGCCTAAGGGACACTGCGAGCTTCCTTGTGCTGCCGGGTCTCGTGCAGTTCCGCATCGAGCTGCCAGACGACCTTCCTCGCAGGCTGAAGGCTGGAGAACAGTGTTGAACAGAGGGAGGATCAGTTTGCGATGCTGTTGTTACTGGGCTGTTGGAAAGGTGTGAATTTTTTAGGTTCAGATGAACAGTCCTTGCTGTATAGAATGCAAAAATGTGGCAAGGAAGGTTGAAATTGATTCGTTGTTTGCGTGTTAGTTAGAGGCTGTTCAAGCTATGGTCACCTTCTGCACATCCAAGAGATTTGGGCCCTTGCTCCAAAAAGCTTAGATTCATCCAGGTTTCGAGGGTTCTAACATCGCAGGGTCTGATGCTCTGTCAGGTCATCGTGCCACCCTACAGCTTCATGGGGGCAGATACACGACCAGGTTGGGCGGCCTTTCCTGACACCATGATCGTAGAACAGTATGTACTGGAATTGCAGAGACCGATGACAGCAACAATGTTGGATCCCAGTTATTGTATTAGACACCCCCAGGGCCCTCACCCCTAAAACAAATCTGGGTCAGAGTTAAAAAGTAAAATCAATAGGAGGGGGGGTTGCTGAGCTCAGTGGATGTTTAAAGTGAAATTCAATAGGAGGGTTGCCGGCTCAGAAGCTGCTTTCATTAGATTAAGCCCAATAGCCGGAGGGTTGCAGAGCTCATCAGCCTGTTATCAAATTGAAATTCACTAGGGTCATCAGGGTTGCATAATTCAGCAGCTGCTATACATGAAGTTCAAAAGAGAAGGCATGAGGATGCCTATACTACCCCCTAAAGCTACGGATATATTCTCATTATTGAGGACCCAGAATGCTGCGGTAAAATGCTTGGCTGTACTCCTCCAATAAGCGGTGAACATGAAGCTTCAGATCTTGAGGCAAACTGGCCAGGTCAAACATATCAATCACGTAAAACAAATCTAGCGTTCAAGTTATATACCTGCGCAAAAAATATTTTGGGCCGTGGAACTTCACTGAGTCAGCACCCCTCTGAATGATGTTCAGCCAAACTTGGCAAAATTCGGAACCCACACACGGGTACTGATAGCAGCAGTAGCAGCCGTCGCTGTCGTCTTCGCCGTGCTTTTCACTGTTGTCGTTGTCATCGCCCCCTCATTGTCATGCTAGCTGTTCTTGGTAGCAGTTCAGAATAGTGGTCGTATGTAGTGGTGATTTGTATTCTCAGCATGGCAGTTGTGAGTTGCGTTCTCAGCTACGGTCAAATCAATCCGTCCTGGCATCGATAGGCTCAGAGGTGCTTGAGGTCCTCTCTGCGCCCCGCAACAGGCAGCCTGGCAGGGCCGCGAATGCAATACGAGCTGCAGATCGATACCGGGGACGATCCAACAGTGGATATTCGCAGGCAGGATGCTTGAACCCATTTTGGGAGCGGGCCCAGGGAGCCAGGGAGAAGCTTTCGGGAGACAAGGATCCTGACCCTCATAGTGGCACACATCACGTATGCATTTGGAATTACGCTGATTTTGTGGGTATGCCGTGCTTAGGATTGCAGCTTGAGGCTCCAGGTTTCCCCAGTTGAAAGAAAACGGAGGGGTCCAAGCGCAGGCTTACTGTTCTTTTGGGGCTTGCTAGCGTTGCTCGATGGCATTTCGGTTTTATGTAGTATACATCGTAGACTGCAAGTACGCTATCCCACAAAATGCAAACCAAAAGTGCATCACTGAATGACC